CTCTGCCCACAAGAGTCAAGGTTTCCTATAACAGAACAGTTGAATTTTTCTTTATTCCTAACTTTTCCAATACAGAATGGCATTTTGGATTTACTTATGGATAACTGGAAGGGGACATTAGAGTTTTTCCCAAAAGTAAAACACAATCTTGACCCAAGGATAAATTATGGCTCCACCCTTAGAGCAACAGAGAAAACTACTAACAGCTTTAAAATCATAATCTGGTAGTTTGAATGAATAAATTAGAACTACAATATAAATTGATCTGGAAAATATTAAAATGTCGCAAAATAACATAGCATAAAATAATTTATGTAAATGTATTTTATATAAAGATACATATGGACGGTAAGTGTACAGAAACATGAGCAGGGAGGTTCTTCACCAATCTTAAAATATTGGTTGTGCGTGGGGAAGAAGACAGAATGAGCTATGAAAAATAACACAGATGGGACTTCAATTCTATAAGATTTTATTTTCAAAACTAAAATGAATAAAATGGCAAAATATGTACACAGTATAAATCCAGGTGGTAGATAAGTGAATGAATAAATATATTTAGCAGTTCTGGTTTTGATATTTGCAGAGTAGCTTATGGTAGATAAATCATTCCATAGACAACAATCATAAAGTCTGGATAAAATTTAAGAAACAACAAGTTGACGTCACTGTAGCATGACCAAAAGAAGATAGATACCAGGAGGGAATTACACTGTGTAATGTAGGTATATTAGGCTTTTCCACTTTGTATATTTTCCAGTCTGTATGTCTCACCTACAATTCAAGCAGAAAGATGCAGGCATAGAACCACTGTCTATAGAAAGGTGGTTAAGAACCTGAACATAACCAGTTTAATTGTCTAACTAAAAGAAAAATATTTTCCATAAGATTTAAACAAGGCCTATAATTTGCTTTGGCTGTATGTCCATTTTAACAACACTGATTCTTCCCATCCGTGAGTACAGAATGATTTCCCATTTTTTTGTGTCATCTCTAATTTTTTTAGCAGTGTTCTATAATTCTCATTGTGGAGACCTTTCACCTCCATGGTTAGCTGTATTCATCAGTGTTTCATTCTTTTTATGGCTGCTTGAAAGTGGAGGGTGGGAGGAGGGAGAGGATGGAAAAACTACATATCAGGTTACTATGCTTATTACCTGGGTGATGAAATAATCTGTACACCAAACCCCCATGACAGCAATTTTACCTATATAATGAACCTGCACATGTATCCCTGAACCTAAAATGAACGTTAAAAAAATAGAAAATAAACCAGATCTACAGTCACATAACGAAGTATTTAAAATATTCAAAATTTCCAGGATATAATCCAAAATTATTTGATACACAAAATGGGAGGAAAATGTCAACATCTTGCAAAGTAAAAGGCAATTAGTATATGCTAATTTCAAAATTACCTGGATATATTGATATTGTTAATAATGCCTATAAAGCAGCTTTCATAACCATGCTCCAAGAAATAAGGTAAGCATTCAGGAAACAAACAGAAAGATAAAATGTCTCAGCATATAAACAGAATATATAATAAAGAACCAAATAAAAATTTTAGCACCAAATAGTATAATAATAAATTAAAAAGTTACTCGATGAGCTCAATAACAAAATGAAAGTGACAGAGGAAAGCTTTAGTGAACTTGAAGATAGATTACTAGAAATTATCTAAGCCACACACACAAAAAGAAAAATGATGTTAAAAAAGATAAACAAAGTCTCAGAGACTTGTGGGGCCATACTAAAAGACCTAACATTCATGTCATTGATATATTAATAGCAAATGAAGAAGACAAAGAGTGAGTGCAGAAAAAAATTTTGAATAAATAATGGCTAAAAGCTTCCTAAATTTGGAAAAAGATGTGAACTTATGAATTCAAGTTCATTGCACTCCAAAATAGTATAAACTAAAAGGAATTTATGTCTAGACACATCATCATCCAAACATATGCAAATATCACAACAGAAGTCAAGAAGATAGAAATAGTGGAACAAAAATGAGAAGAAACCAAGATTTAAAAAGTAAATAAAATAGTAGACCTAAATCCCAACATATAAATAATTAAATTAAAAGTACAAATGATGCAAATGCGCCAATTAAAAAGCATATTTCAGAATGTCCAAAAGTAGACCTAACTATATGCTATAATCAATCTATACTTTAAATGTAATGATACAGGTAAAGTAGAAATAAAAGGATAGAAAAAATGTAACACCTAAATACTAATCAAAATAAATCAGGATTGGCTATATATTATATTGGTCTTCAGAAGGAAAAAAAGCTTTGAGCTAAGAAAGATTTTCAGTGATAATAGGGGACACTACTTAGTGATAAAAGGATGAACTCATCAAGAGACTTAACAATCTTAACCATTTATTACCCAACAACAGAGCCTCAAAACACATGAGAAAAAAATTGACAGAATTAAAATTGCTGTTGGAGATTTCAACACTCTCACTCAGTAGTCGATAGAACAAGCAAATAAAAATTAACAACAATATGGAAAAACAACTCACTGTTAACTAATGAGCTGGTTAACATTTATAAAACATCCCACCAACAGAAAGAATGTGCATTCTACTCAAGTGCACATAAATATATACCAAGGCAGACCATATCTTAAGTCAACAAAAACCTTAACAAATTTATTATTCATTTTTTTAAAAAAATAAAACAATACAAGATGTGTTCTCTGATCACAATGCAATTAAACTAGAATTCAATAACAGGAAGATAACTAGGAAATCTCCAAATCTCTTGTAATTAAACAACACAATTCTAAATAATTAATAGATATGCTCTGGTTTCTCTTCAAATCATAAATCTTTTACCTTTTACTAAATAATTCACAGATCAAAAAGGAAGTCATAAGGGAAATTGGAAAATCTTATGAACTGAATGACAATGAAAATTCAACATATCAAAATTTGTCAGATGTAGTTAAGGTGCTGATTAAAGAGAGATTAATAGCATTCAACACTTATACTAGAAGAAAAGAAATTTCTCAAGTGAACAATTTAAGTATCTATGTTAAACTAGAAAATGAAGATCAAAATATGCCCAAAGCAAGCAGAAGAAAGGAAATAATAAAAATAAGTGTAGAAACCAGTAAAATTGAAAACAGAAAAATAATATAGAAAATTAACAAAACCAAAAATTGATTTATTGAAAGCAACAATAAAATTGATAAACCTCTAACCAAGCTAACACAAAAAAAGAAAGAAGATACAAATTGTCCATAACAAGGACAAAATAGCAGATATTACTAAAGACTTTGCAGATACCAAAATGATGATAAGGAAATACTACAAACATAAATTTGACAACTTGAATGGAATGGGCCAATTTCTTAAATAACATGAGCTACCACAACTCACCTAATATGAAATAGATAATTTGGATGTTCCCATATCTAATAAAGAAATTGATTTTACACTTTATAATAAACTTCCCTAAAATGAAGCTCCAAACCCAATGATTTCACAGATGAATGCAAACAAAGATTTAAAGAAGAGTAACATTAATTCTATAAGTATCTTCCAAAAAATTGAAAGAACACTTCTCAACTCATCCTGTAAGGCCTGCTTTACCCTGATACCCGAACCAGACAAAGACAATATGAGAAAAGAAAATTATAGGTCAATATATAAAATATTACCAAATCAAACAGCAATATACAAAAGGAGTAGTACACTACTACCAAGTGGGGTCTATCCCAAAAGTGCAAGGTTGATTCAATATTTGAAAATCAACCAACGTCGTACACTATATTAACAAGCTAAAGAAGAAAGAACAAATGATTATATCAATGTATCTGATAAAATTCAAAAGTCATTCACGATAAAAGTCTCAGCAAACTAGGGGTAGAAGGGAACTTCCTTAACCTGATAGAGTGAATCTATAAAATTTCCACATCATACTTAATGGTGGAGACTGAATGCTTTTCTTCTAAGATCAGATACAAGCCAAGGGTTTCCCCTCTCACCACGCATATTCAGTACTGTACTGTATGTTCTAGCCAGTGCAATAAGCAAGGGAAAAGAATAAAGGCATACAAATTAGAAACCAAAAAAAAAAAAAAAACCATCTCTATTTGCAAATGAAATGATTACATAGAAAATCTGAAGGAATCTTTTTTAAAAAGTGGTGCTGGGGGCAGGTTCCTAAAACTAGTAAGCAAATTTGCCAAGACCTCAGCCCACAAGGTCAACATTTAAATATCAATAGTATTTCCATACACTAATAATAAACTATTGGAAAGTGGAATTTTTAAAAAAAGTCATGTAAAGCAGCTCCAAAAAACAAACAAAAATTTTAACTAATACTTAAATATAAGTATTTTCTACCCCCCTCCCTAATGGGTATTATCAGGTCTTCGGTCTACCCCAATTTTAGTGTCATGAAACAGGATCCTCCACCTCTGCCAAGTCCTAGGCTATACCTTATACATAAATAAAATCTGCAATTCTGATGCACATGCTTTATGATGGCAGAAATCTGTGGAAAGGAAGTTCACAGTTGGTTTGGAAGAACAAAAACAGAAAATACAGATGGCGATAGAGTCATGATTCAAGCCAATGCATTGAGAGGAAAGAGCATTTTAGAGTCATAGGTGACCACAAGAATGTAAGGACTCTGGTAACACAAAATCCTGAAGTGGTGGCATTTGGATTTTCACATGGCATGAAATGAAGATTTGACAAAATTCTACATCTAGAGTAACCATCTGACTCAGAAATGACACCTATGTACTACCACATTAATTAAGAGAACCTTCCAAGTATTTCAAAGGGGATGCTGTCTCCTCCTGAGCAACAACAAAAAAATTCCTCTGGTTTCAGTTGTGTTTAGACATTATTTTTATTCTCATCTAGGTTCTGTGGCCACTAATAACTAGCTAGTGATTTTGGAAAACTTTCTGGTGCCAGTTTATGAATACTTTCTGAATAGTGAAGCCTTGATTAAAAAAACTTTAAAAATACTTTTATTATTCATGTCCCACCAGAAAGCAAAATTTTATTTTTATATCAATATGTGCCACTAGCATTAAAAGGAAGATTGTTGAGTTGGTTTGATTGATTGATTATTCCAAGGGGTGGTAGTGCTTCTGTGAGCAGTGGGAAGTTTGTCCTGTGGATCCACCCTAATGAGGTTCTGTGAATGTGATTGTGACCCTTGCCTTGCTCTGCAATGGACAAAAATAATTATTATTCAGAAAGACAAAAAATAGAAAAACTTGCAATTACATATTACGAAAAGTAATTGCAGCCTTTCTTGAACATTAAACAAAGGATACCCTTTTTAACACTTTTGAGTCAATGTTTTCCTTTCCTTCAGTGGACAGCATGCATAGGAGTAAAATAAGATCATATAGGACATGGCCAATCTAATTAATATGGCTTACTCTCATCCGTCTATTTAATCTGTACAGCTATTTCATAATAAAGGTTAATTTGCTAAATATAATATAGCCTGTAATTTGTAAACTACCTATTGTCTAGAAATGAAAAGTGGTACCATACAAAGTGTGAATTAAGCAAACTGTATCTTTCTTTTCCACATTGCCTTTCTATGATTTCCCCCCACCTCCCAACCCCAAATCCTTCATTTAAACATGTACTATCCAATATAGGAGCCATTAGCCACAGTTGACTATTTACATTTTAATTTATATTAATTAAAATTAAATAAAATTTAAAGTTCCAATTCCTCAGTCACACCAGCCACATTTCAAGTCTTCTATACTCACATGTGGCTAATAATTACTATATTGAACAGCCTAGTTGTTGAACATTTTCATCATTGCAGGAAGTTCTAATGGACAGAGTTGATCTAGACTCTGAGTCCTTCTGCTCTCCCTTCTCTGGCCAGGATTCTACCGACCCCGGGCACGCCTTCCCAAGTATCTTCAGGTTTTTCTTCCTTCCACTACTGTTACCTCCATAACTTCCCTGTGCCTTCTCATGATGTCCCATAAAGAGCACAATTTTGTAATTCCTTTCTTGAGGACCTTTCTCTCAACTTAAATAACTTGATAAACTGGTTCATGCTTAGGCAATTTGGAGTGCTCAGAGTTCACGCATTCTCTCTCCAAAATAACACATTGGTATTTTAGCTGAAAGCTTCTGGAGACATTATGCATTTACAGAAAGGGCTGACTCTCAAAGTGGTGACTTTAGGCACCATGGTAGCCTAGTACCTTGGTGAACAAACCTCAGAATGCAAGTGGCTGTAAAGCACTTTTCAAATTACATTATCCTGTTGGCCTGTTCATCTACATTGGCCTTGGGTCACTATGCTGATTTGTCTCCTAGGAATGCTGGAATATCACTCATTGTTACCACAGAGGCATAATATTTATGCATCTAACATGACATGTATGAATAGTAGGTCAAAAGAAATATGTTTGTTTTCCTTGGAACTGTGAAAGATGCTAGAGTTCGGGATAGGGTTTTGGTATCAGAATCCGTCTACTCTGTCCATTCTGGGGGCTCCCTGCCAAAGTATCACACAAAAAACAGTTAATAGCAAAATCAGAAATGATATAAGCCCCTTAGTAATAGCTTGACAAATGTTTCCTTCTCCCCCAGTATAATGCTTTGATCAAAACTGAACTAGAAAATGCAGCTTAGACCAAGAGATACGAAGAACAAACAAAAAGACTTCTTACTCCCTAAGTAAGAGACGATTAGGTAAGCAGACAAACTCTAGTTTGCCCTGTGGTTCATTCACTGGGTTAGAGAGAGGCTGCTGTGACTCAGGGGACAGCCCTCCCTTGCCTGCTTTCCGCATGCAACGAGAAAGACAAGAAATATCCCCTCTTGCTCAGAAGGCCCTGGCTCTCTTAACATGCTCAATAAAAAAGGTAAAGGAGAAAAAGAAGATAGCCAGGCCTGCCTCCGGAGAAACTCAACTGCTGTGTCCAGTGTTCCACATCTGGACTTAGTTAGTTGCTTCCTCATGATGTCATTTAACTTACTTTCTATATGTAGAAATTTTATATAACTAAACTTCCATTTTTACAAGAAAAATATTCGTATCAATGGCATCTCTCCGATGTTTTGTTTGCTTATTTGGGGATTTTAATTATTTTTTGTTGTTCTTTGAAGTAACCCATGCATGTAGTACTCATAGTGAAGTAGTATTAAAAGGTTTGTTTTAAAAAGAAGCAGTCCCCTCTCCACTCCCTACCCCTCCCGGAAGCCACACTTCCATCTCTTTTTAGCTACTCCTTCTGGTTGTCACTATTACAATATTCTGGTAGTTACTGAATATTATTGTTAAGACATTTTGTTATGGAAAATTCCAAATGCATACAAAAGCTAGAAAGTAGCGTGATGAACCCACCCTTTGTACTCATGACTTAGCTTCAGTTATTATCAACACATAGTCAATCCCATTTTATCTTTACAGCTACCCATTTACTCACCAACCTCAGTACAAGACAGCATATCATTTTAACCACAAACATACCATTCATTGTATATCACTAAAGAATAGGTCTCTTTTCAAATACATCTAATTCCAATTATCTCATAATTCTTCCTTACAGTTGGTTTATACAAATTAGTGTGCAAGATGCATTTTTTTTGCTGTCATTTAAGTCTCCTTTTTTAAAAAGAAAAAAAAATCTATCATCTTAGTTCTCAACTGGAGCAAGTTTGTTCCCAGAAGACATTTAGCAATGTCTGGAGATATTTTTGGTTGTTATAACTTGGTTGAGGAGAAAGGGGGAGAGTTCCAATGGTATGTAGTGCCTAGGGGCAAGAATGCTGCTAAAAGCTCCAAAACACAGGACAGCCGCCACCAACGAAGAATCATCTGGCACAATATATATAAAGGATTCTATTCCCTGCCTCCTCCTCTTATTTCTTGAAGGAATCAGATCATTTGACCCCTAGAGTTTATCACATTCTGGATTTTGCTGAAGGTTTCCCCATTTTGTCTTGGAACATGTTTCTCATTCCCTATACTTTCTGTAAATTAAGAATAAAGACAGAACACATGAAAGTACTAAGCCAATAGAGAACACTGAAATATCAAAATTTCCGTGTGAAAATGTGAATCAAGTGGTTGAGTCATAGGAGAGCCTATGGGTTTTTTATTTTTATTTTTTTGAAAGTTCATCCCTCTTGTTTTTGCAAGAACAAGGACATTGAGGCTTGGGGAGGTAATAGGAGTTGGCTAAGTTCACAATCAAATTTCCTGAGTCTCTGCCTTTTTGAAATTTGAGATATAGCTCTATTTTTTTGAGAGATAAAGTCTTAATCCGATTAAGGTTTGATATTTTTGGCTAGAATATCTTATAAGTTGTGATGTGTACTGGCATTAGAAGGCATGGAATATCAGGTTGTCTTTTTTGCTAGCAGTCATTGATGATCCTTGCCTAAAGCCATTATTTCATTAGGGTTTGTTCACCAATGTTTTAAATAGTTCATTTCTTCCTATTGAAATATTATTTAATGAAAATATCTTTACTTTTTGACTATGAAGTTAATGTTTAATTTTTAAATTTGTATTTAACAATACAAATACACGTTTAGTTTTTTTTGGACGGTAATACCAGCCCCCCAAAATAACTGCTCTAAAACTTTGGCTTATATTTTTCCACACTTTTTAGTCATATATACATACGTGCAAAGTGTGATTAGATAATATATGTAATATGACAATTTTGTCATTTTCATTTTTATTTAATAATATATAGGAAAAATACGTTCATATCCAGTACATGCATATCTACTTTTTTCCTCTTTTTCAACATTATAAGATTCCATATATAAGAAATACCCAAGATACGTAAATCCATCGTGACAGAAATCAGGTTAGTGGCTGTCCAAGACTGAAGGGGAGCAGGAGAGAAGTGGCGGAGAAAAGACAGTCGTTCTAACTAAGCCCTACCAAATTTACAGATTCATGAGCAAAATGTTTATTGTCGATTTAAACTGCCAAATTCAGAAGCATTTTCTTAGACAGCAATTAGTAACTGCATTCCTCATTATTATTCTTTCCAAATTTTATATTCAGCATTCTTCATATAAAATTTATTATCAATTTTGTCAGTGGTGGATTCTGATTGGTGTATTACTCAACATATAGATTATTTGTGGAGAAAGTTGATATCTTTATCATCTTTCCTCCAAAAAATACTGTATGTGTTTCTTCATATATTGTTTTATATCTTTCATGTATGTTTCATAATGCTCTTTATATAAATGTCTTCCTAGACACTTTCTAGTTTTTTATTGCTATTGTAAATCTTGAATATTTTTGTACCAATTATATATAACTGAATAACAAACTCTAAAATTTAATGGTTTAAAACAATACCCATTTATTTGTTCAACATTTTGTTGATTGGACACTTGAACTAAGCTCAACTAAGAAAAGGGTACTTTTTCTGGTCTAACCAGGGTCAGTCATACAGCTGTAGACATATGGTGGTTTCACTGGCACTGGATTTCCTAGCATGGTTTCACTCACATGTCTTGTGTTGGTGCTGGCTATTAGCTGATTAGTTTAGTGGGTATCAGCTGGTTAAGCTCATTCCCGCTTCGCATGGTCTTTTATCCTAGAGACTACAGGATGGTATTGGACTCATCTAGAGGACTCTAGACCAGATACTGGAGTTCTTCACATCATGGAGTAGTGTTTCAAAAGAGCCAAAGGGAAAGCTGCAGGACCTCTTGAAACTGAGACTCAACGCTACATAGCCTCAATTCCCACACATTCTGTTAGTCAAAGCAAGTTCAAAGCCAGCCTAGATTTATGAGAGTGTAGAAATCAATGCCACTGCTCATGAAAGGAGCTGAACAGAATCTGTGGTTATCTTTAATATTCCACATTTATCCATCACATTTGTAATTTGCTATATAAGAGAAAGGTTTTTATTTGTGCATAGTAATCTTACAATGAACCAATGAGTTGAGCTTCTTTTTACCTTTAATATTTTAATGTATAATCTCTTGGACTTTCTATTCATAAAATCCTATCATTTGAAAATAATGATCTTTTTTCTTCCTATCTATAACGGACATTTTTGTTTTATTTTCTTGCTTATTGTATTGGCTAGAATCTCCAAAACTGTTGATAATGAAAATAGTTTCATCTTATTTCAGACACTAGAAAGAACATCTTTGGGTTTTAAATAGCTAATATAATTTTTAATATTGGTTCCTAATAGGTTTCTTCTTTTTTCCAACCAAGGACATGAAATTCAATTTATCAAAACTCTAGGGTCATAATAATATCCTCATTATTGGACCATGAACAGCTCTTTTTTCTCTTTACTTTCTTTTTTTTTTTTTTTTTTGCGACAGTGTCTTGCTCTGTCGCCCAGGATGGAGTGCAGTGGCCAGATCTCAGCTCACTGTTAAGGATGTTTCTTCTATTTTTACTTCACTAAGAGTTTAACAGTAGATATTGGACTAAATCAAATTCCTCCTCTACATTTACTAATATTATTTTCCTCCTTTAATCTATTATTAGATTACTTTTCATTGTGCTATGTCCCTGGACTAAATCTTACTTGGTCATTGGAATTATTAGTAGCATATTTATTTTTATTTTTTTTATTTATTTATTTTTAGAGGGAGTCTTGCTCTGTTGCCCAGGCTGGAGTGCAGTGGTGCAATCTCGGCTCACTGCAACCTCTGTCTCTGGGGTTCAAGCGATTCTCCTGCCTCAGCCTCCCAAGTAGCTGGGATTACAGGCGCCCACCACCATGCCTAGCTAATTTTTGTATTTTAGTAGAGGCAGGGTTTCGCTATGTAAGTCAAGCTGCTCTTAAACTCCTGACCTCAAATGATCCGCCTGCCTCAGCCTCCCAAAGTGCTTGGATTACGGACATGAGCCACAGTGCCCGGCCGCAGCATATTATTTTATAACTGATTTGCATGTATTTGTTTAGGGTCTTTTTCCATTTATAATTTTGCATGAGATTTGTTGTCTTTTCATGAATGGAGTTTACATTGGTATTGTGATTTTTTTTGAAAGTTCATAGGATTTTTGGTCTGAAGACTGAGTTATAACTACTGTTCTTCTACTAATAAACTGGGCAAGTCACTTAACTTCTTTCCTCCAATTATAATAATGTCCACTTACCTATTTGACAAGTTGTCACAAGAAACAGATGAGATAAAGTATATGAATGT